CCCCTGCTCCCGCTGGGCTGAAATCCTGCCCCGTGGGCCCATGCAAGGAGTGGTGACTGAATTGCATTAAAAGGAAAAATATCTACACGTGCTCTGGGTGAGTGTCTGCTCTGGGGGTTTGCTGCGCAGTGGACCAGCTGGTGAGCTGGTAGGGGTCCCACACCTGCAGCACACCCTGGGCAGGTGCCATTTCCCTAGGCAAGGAGCAGGATGGGGTTGCTCAGGTGGATATGGGGTGTCCTTTGAGGCAGAACCATGCATTGCAGGAAGGGAGGTGTCAGCCAGTGCTCCATGCGAGTGGCTTTTGGGGACCTCCTGGAGGCATTGCCACCACAGCCGGGGCAGCACGGGCTGGTGGAGACCTTTTTCAGGCTGCCCATCAGCCCCGGCTGTTGGGTGCACCAACACCTCGAGTCGCAAACCCCAAACTGTCTCAGGGACACTGGAAAAAAAAAAAAACAACAAACCCCAAAGCCAAACCTTGTTTCTTTAAGTCCAAGAGGTTGGGGACAGATGCCAAAGCCCAGAGCCTCAGCAGCTTCGCTACCATCCCTAATTGCCCCCAGTACTAATGACCCGAATCCCCCAGGGGTGTTCCTCCTGTCGCAACACCCTGTTTCTAGAAAGGTGCTTTGCCACCCAAACTCCCCACTCAGTTCATCAGCAGAAGGAGCTGTCTGACCCCTGCCCACGGGTGCCCCACCAGCTCCCAGCCCCGGAGCCAGCTGTGGCCATAAGCTCCTAATCTCTGCCCCATCTCCCATGATAAATGTCTCTGTGCAAGTCCTGGCACGACGCTGCCCCAACCTGCCCCCCGCTGCTCTGTCCCCGCCAGATTAAGCCGTCTCAAGCTCAACATGGTCCCAAACACTCGATTTTTACAGAGCCCTCTTATCTCCCGAAACTCGGAGCGATCCTGCCTTTTTGTCACCAGGACGTGAACCATCCTTTCTCCTTATCGTTAGAAATTGTCGCCGCTTGATTAAGTCCCTGAACGTGCAGCTTTAATTGACCTCTCCTTCTCCTGGAGTATTGTGCTTTTTCCCACTGCAGGGCCACAGTCAGCCCTGGCTGGGTCCCTGGGTGACGGAGCAGGAGTGACGTAGGGGCACGACAGAGGGCTGCGACAGTGCGAAGCGTCTTGTGGTTTGTGTGTATTTGGGAGAAAACTGCAGTCCTGCAGCGTCTGCTGGCCCTCAGGCACAGGGGAGCATGGACAGGGCAGCTCGGAGCATCCCTGGAGCAGCCGTCTCCAACCGCTGTGTCCCACAGCCAGCTCCCAGGGGAGAAGGGACCTGCTGGTGGGTGTGTTGGAGCCTGTTGGAAGCAGCCACTCCAGGGCCAATTTAGCAATAACAGAATCATGGAATGGTTTAGGTTGGAAGGGACCTTCAAGATCATCTAGTTCCAACCCCCCTGCCATGGGCAGGGACACCCTCCACTACCCCAGGTTGCTCAAAGCCTCATCCAACCTGGCCTTGAACACCTCCAGGGATGGGGCAGCCACAACTCCTCTGGGCAACCTGTTCCAGTGCCTCACCACCCTCACAGGGAAGAAATTCTGCCTTAGATCTCATCTAAATCTCCCCTCTTTCAGTTTAAAGCTGTTGCCCCTTGTCTTATCACTACACACCCTTGTAAAAAGTCCCTCTCCAGCTTTCTTGTAGCCCCTTTAGGTACTGGAAGGCTGCTAGAAGGTCTCCCCGGAGCCTTCTCTTCTCCAGGCTAAACAATCTCAATTCTCTCAGCCTGTCTTCATAGCAGAGGTGCTCCAGCCCTCGGATCATCTTCATGGCCTCCTCTGGACCTGCTCCAACAGCTCCATGTCCTTCTGATGTTGGGGACCCCAGAGCTGAACGCAGCGCTGCAGGTGGGGTCTCACGAGAGCAGAGCAGAGGGGCAGAATCCCCTCCCTCGACCTGCTGCCCACGCTGCTTTGGATGCAGCCCAGAACACGGTTGGTTTTCTGGGCTGCCAGCACACATCATCGGCTCATGTTGAGCTTCTCATCCACCAGCACTCCCAAGTCCTTTTCCCCAGGGCTGCTCTCAAATCACTATTTTCCCTTAAAAAAGAGAATTCCCTGCAGGGTGTTAATCCCTGCTCTGAACAACCCTCCCAGCTGCAGTGCCTTTGCACGAAAGCACCCAGCTGCCCTGCTGCTCTCGGCTGCTAATTCCTGCACGGAGGCAAACGATTTGGAAAGGCAGATCTGGGACCTCGAGAGCAGCAGGGCTCCGTGCCGGCTGCCCACATCACCCAACACTGCCTTCCTGCACAGCATGAGGCAGGGAACAAAGACCCACCAAAGGACCACTGCTGCCTTCTCCAGGCCCCTGTCATCCCGCGGTGGACAGGGCTGCCGGAAGGTGGAGCAGGGAAGGATCCCAGAAATGCCAAGAAGCTTTCTGCAAAGCAAAGGCCATGAAGACAGCTGGGGACTGACAGGTCAGTGCTCCAGGTGGGATCCAAGCACCTTCTCCAGTATGTGATGCCACCATCACGAGAAGGTTTCAAGGACTTGATTTTATAGATGCCTAAATAAATACATTGGAACTGATAGATAAACCCACAGCACGTATTTATCTATTTTGCAGGGGGAGCGGGATGTAATTAGATGGCAGCATCTCTCTCAAGGCTATCCCCGCTGTAATTCATGCCTTGAGGTGGCCGCAGAGGGGAGGAGGAATAAAGCAGGTGCCAGAATTGATGGGCTGCTCCCAGAAGCTTTGTTTTAATTAATTTGCAAAGAGCTCCTTGTAGAAGAGCAGGCAGCTCCTTCACAGCCTCCTTCCCCCTGCTGCTGCCCGTGCTTTCATGCTTGTGCTGCGTGGGGTCCGGGGCAGCGGGCTGAGCCCAGGAGCCCGTCCTGCTTCTTCAAGCCCCAGGCTTTTTGGTTAAAGTCTGCAGAAGCTGTTGCTGGTTTTAGACAGGAGGACTTTTCCCTCTTTGATGGCCGTGGCATGGGCAGGTGTATTTGTCAGGGGTTTCCCTTTTCCCCTTAATTGACTTTCTGCTTGTTCCTGCTGCCAGGGGTCAGACAGGGCTTTGGCTGGACTTTGCCGAAAGTCCACCTGAGATGGCTGGTTACCAGGTGCTGACGCAGTGCCCTTCCCCTAAGATATACGGGGTTTGAGAATCGGGTTTGCGACCCAGTCCAGTGCAGGACAGCGGGGCTGGGACGGGGCTGGGGCTGTGTCAGCTCCAAAGCTCTTCCCAAATAAGCAGCCTTGTGATGCTAAACTGCATTTGCTGGATCCAGTAAGGTGACGCTCAGCAGCTCAGTGCAGAATTTGGGGGCAGCTTGGCTGACATGGAGGGATGCGTCCCTGGCCAGGACACCGCGCCAACTGACACAGAACCCTCCAGCACCATCAAACTGCTGCATCTGGTTTTTCTCTCTACCTCCTGGGGAATGCAGATCTGGGTGACCTTTGTGGCTGGTAGGTTGCAGTTCGTGCGCGCTGCCGTGGCTCTCTGCCCTGGTGGGATGCCCAGGGATGGGGCTTTGCCTCAGGACCTACTTGCTCTCTCCCCTTGCAGGGTTTGTGATGGGCAGCCACCTCCCTCGCCACACCTTCGGCTTCATCCAGCGCCAGCTCTTCCCCTACTACTTCCACATCGGCTCCGCTTGTGCCTTCCTCAACCTGACTCTGTTTGCCATGTACCACCCCAGCGAGCTGCTCAGTGAGGAACAAACGACCCAGGTAGCCTCCCACTTTAAAATGCGAGCTGGCTGTAGCCCAAATCCCTTCCTCCGCAGGGTCCCTCTCCACTCTGCTCTGCTGAGGTTGGTTTGCAAGCCACGAGAAGGTCCACACATGGCTCTGGTTAAAAGAAACCAGTCAGGATCCAGATTGCAGCGAGCCTTGTGGCTAAGAGGGGCTGGGGGAGAAATTTAATCCACCGTGCATGTGAGATGTTCACGGCAGGCTTTGCTCCCCCGCAGATCATTGTCTTCTTCATTTGTGTCGCTGCTTCTGTGCTGAACACGCAGTGGTTCGGGCGGGCCACCTCCGACACCGTGGCAGACATGCACCTCATCGAGCGCAGCCATGGCCTCGGCCAGGAGATCGGGCTGATTACCAGCAAGTCCTGCAAGCAGCTGCGTGCCTCCAACCCCAGCTACAGGCAGCTGTCCAGCCAGTTCACTCTCTACCACGCTCTGTCCTCCCTCTGCAACCTCTGCTGCATCATTTGCAATGGCTTGAGCTTGTACCACTTGGCTGCCCATCTCTCTGCCCTGTGACAACAGGACACGGCGAGGCCAGGGCTGGCTGGCCAGAACCAACGCTCTGGGAAAAGGGAACCGTCCTGCTGCTTTGGGGATTAAATTTCGGCATCCTCAGGTGGAGATGTTTTTTAACCATATTTGTGCATGGTACAGAAATTTAGGAATAGCAAAATGGAAATGCTTCCTTTAGAGCTGTTTGAATCCAACTCTGGAGTGAGAAAAACCTTCCATGATCTAAGCAGAAGTGTTTATGGCTGAAGAGCTTTTTAATGCCCCGTGCACTAGATGTGTCTGAAACTGCAGTTTATTTCTGCAATCACATAGAGATTGCTGAAGAGAGAGAAATGAGAGATTTAGAATTACTTCTAATTAAACGCTGAAATCTAATACAGAAGCACAGAAGACCCTGTATGTTGGCTTTATCAGTCAGCGTGATGGATAAGGTCATTATGTTTGGGTTTAAAATTACTGTTTGTCATTCTCTTGTAGTATTTCATGAAGTGAGAAAAATTATTGTCTTATTTATGAGGCAGAAGTCAGTCTACTTAAAATAGACAGGTTTATTTCTAGGCTGTATAGGACAACCAGTAACGTAGCAAAAGGGTCAGTAAAACACACTGCTCCGAACAAAGAGCTCTGCTTTACCCTGGCCAGCAGCAGAGCCAAGCGGTGAGCTGCTTAATCCCAGGCAGGAATCTGACAGCATCCACTCGGCTGCAACAGGCAGGTATCTCCCCAACCCCCTGCTGTTAAACCCCAGCAACTCCAGCCCACCTCTAAGGAAACCAGTGATTTTCCACAGGTAAGTAAGTACATTCCCAGCTGCTGTTGTTTCAACTGCAGCCAGCCTTTGGCACCGCTTCAGGTTTATTTCAAAACCACATGCAGCCTATCAGAGAGGAGACCTTCTGCAAGCCAGCTGGATTTCTTTTTAAACAAATAATCCCCTCTGGTAAGCCCTTCATTCTCCTATGCTGCTTTCCTGGAAGTTTCCCCGCGTGCCAAGGTTATTTTTCCCCTGAAGTGCACAAGGTATTTTTGTTCAAGCCGAAGTTTGCAGTCTGTAGCTGGGATAACAAACAGCAGCCTCTGTTTGTTCCTCGTTTCATTCTCGCTCGTTACAGCCGATGCACCCTCTTGCCAGAGAAGTACTTCTTAGAGAAAGGAGAACGCTTTACAAATGCCAAAACTGTCGGAGTCCCAGCCTTTACGAAATACCTGCGAAGATTAAAAGGAGTCCTTTGGCTTCCTTGTAGCTGGCCGAGTGTCAGGCAAAGTGAGTGACTTCCACCCAGCTCAGTAAAGACTGACCTCCCCGAGGCCAATGACAAGCTGCTTCGCCGATCAGCAGAGCCGTTCGTAGCCCCTACGTCTGAGGAGGAGTGTTTCAGGAATCAATTCTTCTCCCAACAGCTACTTCTAATTAAAACAGCTGTTAACTACCATCTCCCAGAGGGAGAATTCTTTTGGAACTGCCCTCGCAGCCTGAAGTCTGAGGGCTTACACCCGCTGCTGAGTTTTATGGGGTGGCAGTTCAGACACCATCCGCAGCAGCAGCGGACGCGGAGCTCTGCTCCCACTGCGACAGACCAGCCGCCAGCGCCGTGCAGCAGGCTCTCTCCAGCAAGCTACAAGATGGTGCAAGCTAATAGCACGGGCTTTACAATAACTTTTTGGCTTCACAGACAGCAAATTCTTCTCTCTAAATAACTGCACACCACTTTAAAGCCAGTTTCAGAGTGGAACTGTGCTGCATGCTGTGTTGGGGGCTGCTCACGCAGCATTATTAACAGTGAGAGTATTGTTAACCTTCAACATGCTCTCTTTATATGCTGCTGCTTTTTTGTTGTTGTTGTTTAAAGTAGCACTGTGCACACGGAATGTGAAACAGCTCTATTGTGCTGCTGCTTGTGTGTAGCCTAACTCCCCTTCACGACTCCATCCAGTCCTGGAAAGAGTCATTAACTTTTGGGGGGAGGGGGGCAGAAATAAAAGTGTAAGTCACAAAAGCCAGAAAGAAAAAACCAAAATCCATGCAATCCCACTGCTTTGCACCATCCCTTACACTTAGGGATGCCAAGAATTAGGATGATTAAACCAGAGAACAAACTGCACTTAAAGAAAAAACTCATACTTTTTGCCTTCGTGCTCTCTCTGGACACGACAGGTAGAACCTCACCTTTGGTGCTGCAGCACTTGTAGCAACGTGTGTTCTGGGTTCAGCTCGTACATTTCTGCTCTTTCTTCATCTTCAAAATAGAGCTGAAAAAGTTTGGGAGGGTTATTAAATACCTAAGACACAGGAAGACAAGCTACTAAGCTGTTGGAAGTCAAGTAACAGCACAGCATATACTGACTAGAGGTTTACCAAACTTCTGTACCTTGAAGCAACTGTGTCGCATGCCAACTTCAGCAATGTAGAAACTGTTTTGTGTAAATTCCAAGTCTTCCCTGTATAAACCAGCTTAGCTTCTTATGGCAGTGGCAGCAGGAAGGCAAAACACGCTGGCTGTTCCCGTGCTTTACAGAGAAGCAAACCAAACCTACAGGCTGCTTTTTAACCGGCAAAATGCAGCAACGGTATGAGCTAAAATGAGTAGGTTTAAAGATGTTTGAACAAAACAGAGTAGATTTAAGAGATTTGGATCCTGCAGCTGTGCCTTAGTCTGTAGATACACACAGAGCTGTAATTCCAGTTTTTAACCTGGTAAAAGTACACAGCCACTGCCCTTTTGGACCTGTCTGCTCACCGCGCCAAGGGCTGTGCTGTTGCCTGGCACATGTGACAATGAAGTGGAAAATAAAAAATAAACATCTGTATCCTACAATTTCTGAAAAATTCTCCAAACCTACCAGAGTCACAACTTGCACTCCATGTGCTAAAGTCTTAATAAATATATATTGTCTTGATAGGATTAAGTGTTTAAGCAGCACCAGTTAGTTCTGAAAATAACCTTTTTGGTTTTTAAAATATTTTCTCATTTGTATTGAGCATCTTCACAACAACACAGTGAAAAAACTGGCAGCCTAGCGCAGATTGATGGTCTAAATCTTAATTATTGTTACAAATATAGGGATATAAGCAATATCTATAAACCCCTTCTATCAAATACAATGTAAGTGGAAGACAAAAGAACTTTCATTTTTGTTAATGAATTCTGTATCCATCTCAGCACATCTGGAAAATGTTTGAGTTAATAAACGAATGTAGCTCTACAAATCCTTATTTCACATCTGTGTATGGTAAACAAGTCACAAAGCTATTGATTTCATACACTCAAAGCTGTTCAATCTCACTCCAGAAAAAAAAAAAACAAACACAACACAACAACCCTGAAATAGAAGGAAAGTCAAACCTCTCACCTCAAGATTGCTGGGAAGGTATTTTCTTTCCAAATCCCAAGGAGGTAACTCAGCAAACATCACCATTAAATGATCAATAAACCTAGAAGCCAAAATACACTTGATTAGCTTAGATGAAGTGTTCAGCTTCAATAATTTGTACAGTTGCATTTGCATGATGGTAAAAATACATTAGCAAATTACACAATAGACTTGAAAGTATGTTTAGATCACTAACAGTTTCTTCCCTTCAAACTCATCGCCTTCCCCATGAGACCAAGGCCCTGTTGTAACTCATGCTGTTGGTTTCGAACTTGAGCAGTGCAACAGCAAATTATTTTTAACTTTTCATTTTCACACTGAAACAAACATGTCAAAAGAAACACCCTGCATTTCATCTAATATCGATTTTCCTTCTGCATGGTCCCACTAACACCATACTTCATCAGATCAGAGTGCTCAGAACATGCTTGTGTGTCAGAGGCTTGTTTATTTTGGTACTTCAGGAGTGCTGGTGGCCAATTTGTTCTAGGAACCTGTTTTCACTTCCTTTGGTCATGAAAAGGTGTAGTGGACACTACCATGTAAGAACCATGACTTTACTAATCTGCTTGCACTGTAATTTTAAGTTCTAAACTTATTAGTAGATCTGAGGAATACATGTCTCCCCACAAAAAAAAAAAAAAAAAGGTACAGATTCCAAGTTTGTTTAACATTGCAAGATCAGAGACTGAGGTTAACATCAAGAAAAGTGGAATTCCCACCTTGCCAGTCACTTGCTTATAGTCTGAAAGGCGTGTAGCACTTCGGTCAGGCCTGCTGTAAGCCCTAAGGAAAACTATGGGGTCACTGGTGGTCACGAGAGGTCCCTTTTGGAAGCTTTTCATAATTTTTAAGTTTAATCCTCTTTCCAAGAGCCTGTATTTGGAGACCTTCGATACAGCACCTTAATGAAACTTTAAAATCCATGCATGCAGATGGGCGCTGGTATTACTGGCCACTGGTCTAAGCTTGCACTGCAAGCCCCCTTAATCACACTGGCTAGATATGACGCATTTCTCTGCGCTATAAATTTCTCCAACGACGAGATTTTTGGCCCTCATCTTTTAAAGCGGCATTCATAAATCACAGAATAATTCAGGTTGGAAAGAACCTCAGGAGGTCACCTCATGTGACCTGCTGCTCAAAAGCAGGGTCAGCTAAATTAGAAATCCAGAGCTACTTCATTAGCATGGCAGCGTTTCACTCGCTGTCTGTTCTCATCTACTCAAACATCTCCTTTATGCAAGAACGTTGCTGACAGTGCATCTACCTGGAGTTCTCATGGAAAGCCGCGATGAAGTCTGTTTGCTCGTGCTCAGGGTACAGAAAGAGGACAGGCCAGTTCAGGTTGCCATCAGCATCTAAGTGCACCTTTGCCCCCGTGGAATTGTCAGCCTGGAACCCATCTAAGGATATCTCAGCCAGGCCATCTGACACTTCCTCTTCTTCATTTGAAGGCTCAAGAACCAGCTTGATATTTCTTTCCTGGAGGTAAGGAAGCAGGGGGATGGGGGGGCAAGCCAACCAAAATCCAAACAGGTATGGTGAGGAGAGAAGAAGCAAAATATTAGCAGTCAGTAAAAGGACAAATTACGTCATTCTTATTAACGAGTCAGTTCTTAAACATGCCA